CAGGGGCTTCGCCTCATTGATAAATGCATCAAGAGCCGCTATCAGAGATTCCAGAGACACAGATATAATTGCAACATCGTCAGCAACGTCAAGGTCCGTGACCTTGATATTGCTTAGTGTTGCTTCACACTGACTTTGGGAAGTAGTTCTGCCCATTATCCAGTCCATGCAAGTGTTGAAAAGTGTTGGCGCAAGGACACAGCCTTGCCTCACGCATGTTAACAGGGAAGAAGCTCGACAGGCCTCCACCACACTTTACAGCACTTTCAGTACCAGTATATACGCTTGCTATTAATCTAATAATCCGTGCTGGAACTCCTCTAAGTCTCAGGATCTCCCATAACAATTCACGATGCACCGAATCAAACGCCTTCTTGAGATCGATGTTGGCTGCAAGCAGCCCACAACCGAACTCATGATGACGTTCTACAATGACTCGAAGCGTTAGGATACTGTCTATTGTGGACTTGCCAGGAGTGAATCCAGATTGCTCTGGTCTTTGGTGCCTTGGCAGATGGTTGCGGATCCGTTCCAGAATGGTTAATGGATAAAAGCAAAATAAATGTGCTAGACATCTAAGGTCATATAGCGCTATAGGAAGGTATAGTAAAGGGTTATGTCAGGTGATAGTTGCTATGCGTCAACTATCTAGAGTAATGTTGAAAGGTTTCAGAAGACTGTGGGTGAAAACCTTGCCTAATATACTGAGCAATGTGATGCCACGGTAGTTGCTACAGTCCCAGCAATCCCCTTTCCCCTTCCAAAGAGGGATGACCACGCCCCTTAACAGGTCAGGGGGAATGGAACCAGACTGCCAGATGGCAGCCAGGACAGCATGCAAGCCCCAGGCTTGCATGCTGTCCCTGGCTCACCCCCAGCCTTTAGCAGTTCAGCAGGGATATCACATATACCTGCAGCTTTCCCACCCTTCAGCTTAGAGATCACCTCCCTAATCTCAGTTAGTGTGGGGGGATCCTCACTGATGGGTGGGTCAGGCACAGGAATTTCGACATCCTGAGCATCTAGACAAACTGCTGAAGGGTCTACCTGATACAATTGCTCAAAATACTCAGCCCAACATTCACGAACCCCAACATGATCTGAGATAATCCATCCATCCACTGAGTGGGCTGAGAAATCCGTGGGGAAAGATTGAAGTTCAGTTTTCTCAGGGCTTGGTAAGCATGACAAAGGTCATTTACTAAGAAATGGCCTTCTACCTCCTCGGCAAGATTCCTGATGAACTGTTCTTTATCCCTTCTAAGCAGAGTCCTAGCTTTGCACACCAAGGAACGGAGCTAATCTCAATTACCATTCAGACGAGCCATGTGATACGCATCTGTGGCCTCATGTCTCCAGTGAGATGACACCTCTACTACCGAAGGCTGAAGTCGACTGGAGATGATTACCATCGCCCCGGCCTGACCAGCAATAGGTGTACCCACCCATACTGATCGTGCCGCTGCCATGTCTCCTCACCTCCGAGAGGGCAGCCACCTCAACTCCTAGTCGATTCAGTTCCCTGAAGCGACTAGTTGATCCTGCCCCAAAGACCGGATGTTACAAGCTCCCATCTGGACAGCCCACCTGAGGTTAAACCTCAGGCCGTTGCTCCGGGCAGACGCCACCTCTGCCTCCCCTGTCGACATTGCCCCATATAAAAGGGGGCGGCAAGCTGTGGGTCCTATTATCCGCCTATGGGGTTCCCGTGGGCTTTGACCCATAAGGTATTAAGGGGGGGTTCATGATTATAATGGTTAATGATGAAAACAAATATTTAATGTCCTCATGAGTTTCTAAAAGGGAGCTGCTTAGGGAGGTATGAGAAATGAAGGTTTTCTTATAAGAGTGGAAGAGGGGACAGGCAGGTGGTAGAGATTGGAGTGTCTGGATCTAGAATACTTTATATAAAGAAACAGATATAAATAATATATATATGATAACCATATTCATATCTAAGCTTAAATTTATTTGAGTGTTTTTATTAGCAATATAATGTCTGACTTATTATCCTTTCTTGGTTAGTAACCAGTGTAAATACAAGAGTGGATGGCAAGTATTATTCTAAGGAAATTACCTGTACCTGGCCAATTCTCTTATAATTTTTTACATTATCAAATAAGATTATGTTTTACTCTTTCCTTGAATCCACCATAAATTTGGACTTTGAGGAATGATTGTACACATTAGAGTAATGGATATTTTTAGAAGGCCTTTCAGCTTATTAATCTTTATAGCTGTCAAATTGCATAAGTCTGGTTGACAGCAACATTATATTTGCAAGCAGGATATGTTATGCATTTCCAATCCAGTATTTTGATGACAATATTGATTTGATTAATTCTTTGCTCTTAATATTCCAGTACACATTTCATCATTATACAAGGTGATAAAAGATATTACTATTTTTTATGAAAATGTAATAGATCATTTCCTTTTTATATATTGTCTGTCTGGCCTTTGAATATTTTTTTCTTAAGGAGCATTAAAATAACAAGAATAACAAAGTTTCCTTTATTAACACAAGCAAAGATAATTCATGAAAATAAAACCACATTTTCAAGAAATTATAAACTATCAGTTATTATCCCTACAACACGGAAAGGAAAACGAAGACCAGTAATATGGATATGGATTTTGAAAGTCTAATTTATATTCCTGACAGAGCATTTAGCCTTGACAATTCACATTTCTTTCTGTCTACATTATACCAGTACTCTCACATTCAAGCCCACTCTCTTCTGGAGGTAAAAGGAGGCAAACTCGCAGTCTACGTGAAACTGTCATCGTCTTCCTCCGCCATCTCCTTTGCCAATTCCAGATCCTGCTGCTCCCGTTCTCGTCGTTCCTGTCATCAATAGGTAGTCAGTTATGTGCAATCAAATCAAGTTAAAAGAAATTCTTATGAACCCACTGAGCTATTAACAAGACTTGACAGTTAATAGTCCAAAAGGTATTTATCCCAATAACTAAGACTCATGATTAAAACACTCCCAATGAAATGGTAGCAAACATGAAAAGATTAAAAGAAATAGGAATGATGAACATAAGTCTTTAAAATTCAAAACTAAGGAGTGGGAGAAGAGTTTTGGCTTACTCCTCCCCCTTTAAATTGCAGTTATCAGGTTAACAAAATCTCTATATAGATATGAATACTATAGAATCATAAAACAATGAAATTTTCCTATGAAACATGAAAAAATTTATTTAATACAGGAAAAAAGGTATAATTTCCATCTGCTGATGGGGTAATCTCTTTTTGTACAATAGTAAGATTTTGCCTTCCTAATTTTGCTATATTATTAATCCACTGTTACAATGAACATTAAAATTAAAGAAAATCTTCACTGGCACAATCATTAACAATACTAAGATCATTTTTACAAATATTTTTTATTCATTATCTTTTATCTTTTCGTTTAATTAAATCACTGAATCTTACTGAGATTCTTCAAAAAAGAGTGCTGAATACTACTAGACTGACTTTTGCTCATCAATCTTCCTGAATGAAAACTATGAATCCCTTTTCTAGATGCAGTCCCTCTGTCTGATCCTGTATTTCTTCACCAATCATATTTAAACCTAACTGTAAATACTTACATCATTACTGCTTCCCCTTTCCTTACATCCAATAAAAATTTCTGCCAAAAATCCCCTGACAGACGAAGGTTAATATTCTAACAAGATATATTATAATGCTAATGCCCTGTCTACCTTTGACAACAAGAAAGAGGAGTTTATACATGAAGACATTTCAAGGGGGAAAAACCTGATCAATGGAACAAGGTCCAGGTTAGCTGAGGTCAAGAGATGTGTCCAGGGCAGAGTGGCGATGTTCGGGGTGTTGGACATCAGGGAGCTGATGGATGATGTTGCCCATCCTGATGCTTACCGCTATGAAAAAGACTAACCTCTGCATGAGGTTTAACCATCCAATGCATTCTTCTTTTGTAGGTCTAAATCTACTGGCTACTCACTTATCCCCTTTCAAATAAAATTGAAGTCAGGTTCCCTACACTCAACTGATGAAAAAAATGTCTGTCTCATGTTCAGACTATATTTTCTTACTTTTCTAGGGTAGTAACAGGTCTCTATATTCTCTTTCTACAGAACTCATCTATCCTATTTGCTTAATTTTTAAAGGTAAAATATGTTTTGCAAATATGATATTCAATTAACCTATTTCCAAAGCATTTGGAAAACAAATTATTTTCTTTTAAATTACATTAACAATGAGCTGTTGCTGAGCGCCTATCAATAGCATAAACACCATAATTCCTACAATCCAGATGACGTGACTATTACATTAGGAAAAAATTAGGCTTGAGGAGAGGGTGACTTGAACATGCTGTCATAGGAAAATCTGGCTGTAAGCCAAGGTGACATGAACTTGCCATTGTGAACATTTAGGCAGAAGGTCAGGGTGAAGGGAAAGTCTTGTCATGAGTGCACAAATCTCTTGGGAGGGTGAGCAGACTCATTTAGCATTTAAAAAGGGACTTTTGCATCATTTTCATCCTTAAACAAGTCTAGAATGTAGTGTCGGTGAGCCATGACTGGAAGAGCACTGGCTCCAAGGAGGATGTCATTTCCATGCTCAGCATCCTATTCATGGCCACTATGATTAGCGGTTCAGGTTGTATTACATAAAATTGAATATCTTAAAAACATAATAAATAAATAAATAAATAATAATAATAAATATAAATTATTCTTGCACAGAGTTGTGGACTACCTAGAGAGATGCTATAGAGTCTGTGCAAGGACGACCGTTTATTATCATCCGGATAAAACAAATCAAGTGACAAATACAGACAGTGGAAGAGGGCAAAAAAGCTAAAAACACTAATGCATTAAAAGATAAAGTAACATTGCAAAGGGGACACATAGTCTTGTCACTGGACACTAGTGTCTGCAGGTGTCAGGCCTACAAATCATGCACCAATCAGATTGGCTGCTCACAGAGGCATAATGCCCACATTTTGGGCTATGTGATTGCC